AGGGAGCATGGAGAACAGGGGAGGGCACTCTTCTCCTTAGTCTACCTCAGAGTCTCAGTCCTTAGAGAGCAATTATGAAGTTAGAGGGGCATTCACAGACCCACAGTGTGTGAATATTCAGGGTTCACAGCACCTGTTGGATCAGCTGAGGGGATTACAAGTCCAGGACTGGTGTCTGTATATGATCCAGCAACAGGCAGTTCCAGAACCACTGATACAGGAAACTATCCCATCCTCTGGTAGCCCTGAACACTACATAAAATTGTGGTTGCTTTTTAAGATGCGGATTATCATCACTCCCAAACTCTGTCAGATAGTGAAGCCTGCCAATATTACCTCATTGGCATCTTAATCCACTACTGAAACTCACTAATGAGCAAGAGAAAGTTGGGCTCCCCCGAGCACCACCCTGGGCTAAGCACAGAGCAGTGTACAATTAATGTCTGCTTGTGAAGAAGAAGGAGCACCTTCCAGCCTTCTTTGATGACCAAGCCAATATTTCTGACATTTTTTTGACATTGTTTCTTGAATCAGGACTACAGATGGGGCATGACTTCCTTCCTAGAGTGGGAAGAAAACTGGGATGGCAGATGGCCAGCCAGAAGGCCAGGACTCCCAAAATGCCTGATGCTGTCCTGTGACTGCAAAGAATGTAGCCAGGCTAGCCGGAACAGACTTTCAAAAGCTATTTCTACAAATGTACTATCAAGCCTCTTGGCAAGCTTTGGAGGATAAGGTCTTTTGTTCATTCATGAAGTAAATAAATAAACTAAATACAAGTGTAGAACTTGGAGGTCTCTGGAACTCTAACCTACCCTGTGTCTTTTTACTACCTTCACATCAGAATGGCCTGAGTTAAACATCTAATCACCCTGACCCTGAGCAAAAGGCTCAAGAGAGGCATATTTTGTGGACTTTTCTAGTGTGGAAGGCAAATTAACCAGCAGAGCAAAGGCCCTAGACTGGGCAGAAAGAGGGGCTCTGTTCACCCTGCCTATACTATTTAAGAGATGTTTCTATAGTATGGTGAAGGGTGGGGAAGGCCTTTCCATTAAGTCACTAGTGACTTTAAAACCAAGTTTCATTTTCCAAACACTGTTATCTTTCCTTCTTCCTCCTGCTCCCCGCTCCACAAATCCCATCTCCCCCGTGGTTAGTGCGGCTGCAGCTTCCTAAGGCTTCACCTGCTACAGCCTCGGTGCAGCTGCAAGAGGGTGTTATTTGCTTCAAAACAGCTTTGCAACCCCATGCACACGAGAGGAGGATAGAGATTCAGGGGAAGGGAAGGGAGGAGGAGCATGTCAGAAGGGGAAACAACAGCAAACAGAATTAGAGGTGAAATCCCACTGTAAAGGGTTCCTTCACTTTAACCACCTGCTGCGTAGTATCATCTGTGTGGATGGCAAGCTGCTGGAGGGCGGGAACCAGGTCTACCGCTTCCTTGAATCTACCGCCACAACCACGCCCAATTTCTCAGGCCCGTGCTTTACTGCTTTCCACGTGGCAGGAGCTAAAGTAAGTGTAATGTTCAGTTGTTCGAGTGAAACAGAAATAAATGTCTATTGTGACAAACAAGTGGTCATTCCTAAGCATTATGACTGCTTGTTTAAAAACATACATTTCCCCAAACCTGGTGAATCTAAATCGATAGAAGAAGAGCCTGGGAATCTGTACTTTTACTAGCATGCCAGCTGATTCCTATCAGCAAGTTTGGGAAATGATGAGAGAGCTCTAGTCAGAGCCAGGTTCAAATTCCAGTTTTGGAACTTCTTAGCTGTCTAACTGGAATCTCAGTTTTCTCACCTGAAAAATAAGAATAATAATGCCAACTTCGTAGCATTATTAAAAGGATTTTAAAAGCAATTTAAAGAGAATGTTTAAATGTTTGTTCCCGTAAATGTTTGTTTAAAATGTTTGTTTGTTCCCCTTCATCCTGAAGACACTGGGAACTACTAAAAGCCTCTGAGCAGATCTTTAGCTTCAACCCGCTCTGCAACACTCAGACAAATGGCTGCCCAGCCTCTTTGGTAACACCTCCAGTGACAAAGAATAAAATTTACTATCTCCAGAAGCAGTTCATTCCACTTTCAGACAGTTTTAATCATAAGCTCTTTCTTCCTTATGTTGAGTTGAGATCTGCCTTGGGTGACAGAACAAATCTAATCCCTTTTCCACATGATAGGGTGACACAATTAGTTTAGATAAGGAAAGTAAGGAGGATGAGTAGGTGTGGGGGTCCATTTGGAACACACTGCTTGTTTGAGGCACTGGGAGGGCAGCTCCACTCACGTGTGCAACAAGTAGTTGATATGTGGGTCTGGAGTTCAGTAAAGAGATCAGAGTTGTCATTTACACAACAGGATTTGAAGCTGTGAACATAAATGACATTGCCATTTATGGGGCAGAGCTAATGAAACGTATTGAGGAATGGTCAGCAAGGTAGAAAGAGAGCCTTTAAAGAAGAAAGCCGGTAATACACGGAAACAAATATGAAGAGATCAGACCAATGGCAGAGAATCAGTGAAGCAGTCACTACTGACAGAGTTGGGCTTCTGCCCCTCTGGAGCCTTCCAGAGTTGCTTGGAACCATACCACCATGCTGATAAGCAGATGCACACTTCCTTTCCTACTGAAAGAGAAGCAATTTGAAGAAATAGCAGCAGCAAGTACAGACGACTGCAATATTTCCAAGCCTGGATGCTAAGACCAGTTTCTCCAAATAAGGCTCCCATGCTCCTATCTTTGGGGGAAACACTGCCTAGTACAGTCCCTCCTGGAGATTGATCACAGTAAAGAACCCTATTTTCCTCTGTTTAATCCTGCATTTGCCCAACTTACTGAACCACTGATTTTTCACACAATACTTAACATCTTGAGGAGCTAGTGTTTCCTGGCACATAATGTGGCAAATGTGGTGAGAAGAAGAGAAACAAGACAATAGTTTAAGGGACTATTGGTAATCAAGGGAATTTTTTTTCTTTCCTTATTAAGAATGGAAGAACCTTGAATGTACTTAAATGCTGAACAAAAGGAAGCTACTGTAGAGTAAAAAAAGGCCAAAAACAGGCACAAAAAGCAATAGAGCGAGCCAGGCTTCAGGCTTTGGTAGAGGGTTAGCTTAGCGAAATACCTCAGCTCGCTAATCTAGCCATAAAATACTATTTCCCTTGATGAACTCTAGCGATTACAAATGTTCACTATTCTAAACCATATTTACTTTCCTCTGAGGATACAGATATTATCTACATAAGGTTAAGGGCAGATGATATAAACTGTATAAACTGATTCACTAGAAACAGAGTGCAGTCTCCACCCTCCTCCCCAGAGTCAGATGGAATGCGTCCCTTGCCAGGACCAGAGAAGGGTGTTCCAGGTCTTCCAGGTTGAGAGCTGATGCCCCACTCCCCCTGCCCAGGCAGGGAGAGCTCTAGCACAGGATAGGTAGAGAGGGGAAATTTAGAAATAAAGCTCTCCAAAGAAACTGTCTTGCCTAAAGATCAGCTTCCCACACACACTGGAGTGCCACATCTGCGGGGGCTGGAAGCACGGGAATGGAACAATCCTGACCAAGTCACATAACTATTACCCTTTTGCGGGAGGCGACAGCATATTTCTGAGTCCCCCCATTGGCACCCCAGTGTCTAGGCTGCAGATCCAGAGCAAGGGCTTAGGGACAGAAAACAGGAGACTGAAAAGATCACCAGTGACTAGTCCAGCCTTCCTCCTGCTCTCCTCTCTTCACAACAAATGTGAAGAAAGCTGCTCTCAACACAGAGGGAGTAGAGCTGAGGGTTCATTTTAGAAAAGAACCATGAAGGGTTCTAGTGGGCTTGAGGCTCAAATCTGGGCTCCCTTGGCTCTTCTCCCTGTAGGAGGGTCAGGAACTAGCAACTGAGGAAAAAGAAAATCAAGCACCCGAGAGAAAAACTGCAATTAGCATTTATATCGGTTGGCTATGTCATCTCAAACCCCAAGGACAGAGTAGATGTCACGTTGCCAGGCAACTAGCAACTGTAGCCTCCCCTCCCCACCTTCCAGCTGGTATCAGAGGCCACTAGAAAAAGTTTAACCCAAGAGTCTGATACAAGCATTAAACACACACACACACACACACACACACACACACACACACGGCTCAGAGGAGTAATCCTACCACCTCTTTCTCCGAGGATTTTACCCTTGGAGAGGTACAATATGCTTGCCCCAGACTGCTGGAGTTTTGCCAAGAAGCCCAAGCAGGAAGAAGGAAACTATCCCTAATTCTAGGAGGAGTCCATAGTGTTCATTTAGCAATCCAACTCTCTAAGAGGTTTGTACTTTGACCTGACAAAGTATTATAATGTGACTCAAGGGTCAAAAGCTCAGCCTTGGACAGTATCTCAGAACAGCTTTCAGCAGCAATACACTCAATGCTATATATCCGTTCCACCCACCCTTCCTGTGGAAGATACACCATCCCATCCCATGTCCCATGATTCAGATACAGCAGACCAGTGCACAGGGAGTGAGGGAACACAATTAAAAAAAAAAAAAAACCCAGAAAGCAGCAACCTGTCAGTTCTTTGGTTTCTTAAAAGAGACCCTGTACCAGAACACAGTGATAGCTGATATGCTCGGATACAAATTCTGATGTCTATTATGCATATGTAGAAGGGGGGAATGCCAAGTTTCCCCTCAAATCACAGATTGCAAGCAAAGTACTTTGAACATTTGAGTGCTCTCTGAATGCTGAATAGCAACAATCACCCAACAGTCTTTTACAATTAGAGCAAACTGAAAATTTCCCATACTGAGTCATTCAGGAGCAAAAAGGAAGAAGCCAGCTCACAAAAGGGAGGAGATACTGACCATAAAGTACACAACCTGAGCATACAGTGCAAAGTGTTGTTTTAGTACTGGGAGTACACACTCCCTACCCCACTAGTTAAACAAGAAGGGCTGGGTTGGCACGGAACTCCCCTTGTGCAGCACAAGGCCTGGTGCTCAGAGGTGAGACTTACCTGACGTACAAGGACCTCTTCTCACTCGTCCGCAGGGACCCAGACCCAGAGCTCATACTGCTGTTCATCATTTGTTCTCGCAAGTCATGTATCTTCGATTCAAAGCGACTGTATTCTGTTAGAGAGACAAGGGAAAGGACAAGAAAAGAATGAACCCAAGGAGTTGTACCAAGCCTGTGTGCCAGCGGCCAAAGAGCCAGGAGGACCCTTGGCTTCAAAGCAGCCAGAGCCAGCCCAGTCAATCTTTGCTTTGATAAGCAGAGTACCTCCTCCATGCACAGAAAGATTTCTCTCCACCCCCAGACTAGTAGAATGAAAGAATACACCTGAAAAAGGAGTAACATTTGGACATATCGAATGGAAAAACTCACTGATCCTTAAAAAAAATAACAACTGGAAAGAGGTTCCAGTGCAGCCTTCATTAATCTTTAGAGCAGGCACTAAGGCCCAAGGAGAGCAGATGGGAAAAGAGACTTTCCCGAAAAGTGGATTGCAGAGAACAGATGGCCCTGAGATGCAGGGTGGTGGGGCAGCGAAGGACCTGAGGCCATTATATCACTGTTAGGCAAAGATGATCTGTTTCTAGATGACTTGTTTTTTTGAGGGGGGACATTGGAATGCAGTACAAAGGTAAAAACAAACCTCACAATCAGAAGAGAAGATCACAAAGCTCTCCTGAATTATTTCCCTTTTAACAAACAGGGTCTTTGGCTTCAGTAACAATTGAACATTACAATAGAAATTCTCCCAAACCCAGAAGTCTGCTGACATCTCTCTCCTCCAAAACCATCTAGCCAGGGGGGTCATAAGTCCATGCCCAACTTTGTAGCCCACTGACACCGTTACAACAGTCTGAAAAAGCCTCATCATTCTGGAAAGGTGACTACAGGTTTACACCCGATGTAAGAAAACCTGACATAGGAAAACTAACTCTATCCATACAATTATTATAAAAGGCTTTTTACAGGGCTACTTTGCTGTGACACTCTCCTAGCACATTTTAAATATGATGTTCACATTTACCACAAACACACACACACACCCCGCACATTTTTCAGGTCTATAATTGCCAGTCTATAATTGCCACATAAAATGGGATATATCTAAGGCACAGACTGTGAAAATGGTAGAAAACAGGCATACTTCATTATGACAAGCTGATTTTAAAGGAAGTCACAATTTATACTGGGGGTTGAAGGTTGGGGAACTGCTTTAAAAAACAAACACATTTCCAGGAAAAAAGAATTCCACAAAAGCATTTTCATGCACCGCAGAGGGCTGGCAAGAAGCATCCCCATCTAGTCTGTAAGACTCTACAGGCAGAAAACAAAACACCTGTTCTAACACCTGACACTCCCCTTCCCTCAGCAAAGCAACCTGACCTTCAGCTGGGTATAAAGGGAAACAGTAAAAAGCCTAAACAGGAGGGAATAGGGTTCTAACTCATACAAATATCCTCTTCTCAACAAAGTTTCTTTTTGTTCACTCTGGTACCAATGAAGCCAACTGGTTAAACTCATGTGCTCTTTCATTCAGCACGCACTGGTGTTATGGTGATTTGTCCTCATTACTTACTCCTGTCCCTGAAATCCTGCAGGAAGCAGTTAAGTCACTGACTCACCCATTAAATGTTGGGGAAAGAAAAAAAGAGAGACAGCAGCTGGACAATGTCCCTATTCTGAGGGTTAGACGGCAACACATCAATATCAATGAGGCTTCCCAATCTAAAGGTAGAAGGTGGTGACCGATCTGTCATGGCAGCCCTGGATGGCCCAAGCGCGCAGCAGCAGGGCTCTCTACCTCTAGAGCCGCCCAGGCGCGGGTCCCGCCCCAAGGCTCAGCCCTCCAGCCCAGCCCTCTCCAGTTGGCTCCTTTCTGGCCCTCCTCCCCACTCACCGGCTAAAAGGAGACTGGGTGAGACAAAGAGATTTCTGACCAAGCAACCCCTTCTTGAGCAAGATAAGTAAAAGGCAGAAATATGCGTTGAACACAGAAAAAGAAAAAGAAAAAAAACCCACCACCCAGTCTATCCTTAAGCCATATTCCCCCTCTCCCAGCTTGTTTATATATTCTCTTCTTTGGAATTGGCTTGCCCACTGAACTCCAACTTAGCAGCCGGTCATGGCAGTTGCTTAGTAACTACATTTCTTAAATAACCCTTTAAAAACAACCGCCAAACCACCATTTCCTCAAAGCTCCTAATCCAAGGTTGATAACGCTGGGCCAGAGAGCCCACTTAAAATAGACTATAGAAAGAGAACAAGGCTATTGCTTTAAGGAAGCCACTTTCTGTTTTCTATGTGCTACTAAGCTTTCAAGTCTATTAAATAGTGTTTTATTCACTTTTTCCCCATTCAGATGATCCCCTTAAGAGTTCTAGCTGCTCATCGGTCTCTGACTTTTATTTGTAGAGTTATCTAATGTCCAGTAGGCACAAAGTAGGCTCCGAATAAATGATTGTTGGGTAAACGAGGAGCAGATTAAAAAACTCTGCCCAAGTCGATGCTTCTGTTCTCAAACTAATAAAACTAATGGTTTATTTAACTCATGGCTGCCAGCTTCACTGAGGGCTTGGAAAAGTAGTCAAGAAGTATTCCCATTTGCTTTTGTTCCCAAGGTGAATTGTTGGGAGCAACTGGAGTATATGTTTTTTAAACACCTTTTTGAGATGTTAATAACCCACAGTGGGCATCTGATTAACAAACTTTGTTTATAACAAAGAAAAAAATAATTCTAACAAAAAGCTGTTTAGAATAGTCTTTAGATAGTACCTCATCTTAATATTAGAGGCCTCATTTTCCAAGGACAAAAGCTTCACCTAAAAAGCATCTGAATTCTAAGACCTTACAATTTGCCAAGGTCCCTCTTTTCCCCTTCCACTCATAACAAAGCCGTTGCTGGAAGGCATCTCCTAGGCCTAAGTCTTTGCCTAAGAAGCCCACCAGACCAGCCTCTTTAATCCAAAAGGCCTACTTCAAACAGGTTATTTTAAAGAAACAACACTTATTACTAAAATCTCAAGTCTACTAAACTGTGTTATATTCATTTTTTTCCCATTCATATGAACCCAACCATTTGTGATCCACAAAGATATCCACGGTGAGTCAGTCATTGCTCCCTCATTCTCTTTACTAATCACAGAGAGAAAAGGGAGTGGGGTAGGGGACAATCAGGCATCATTCCCCGAAACAGGATTTCTCACTGACCCTCTGGGGTGCCTCTGAAAGATCAGGATTTGGGACCCTACCCCCTGATACACTGACTCAGAACCTACTGAGTGGGCCAAGGAATCTGTATTTTTAACAAGCATCAAGATAATTCCGATGCCAAATAAAATTCGAAACTGCTGGTCTTGATTACAGAATTGAGTTTTGTTTTGTTTTGTTAGTTCAGGGAAAAGATAAGGTAAGTATCCTGCAGCCTGTCTCAAAAGGAAGTTAGGACAAGAGGGTTGGAAAGCTCTCCAAAAAAAAAAAAAAAAATTGGCAATACAACTGCAAATTCCACGGGAAAGGAAAGTGCTAAAGAAGCCTCTGTCCAATATATACACTACCAAACGTAAAACAGATAGCTAGTGGGAAGCAGCCGCATAGCACAGGGAGATCAGCTCGGTGCTTTGTGACCACCTAGGGGGGTGGGATAGGGAGGGTGGGAGGGAGGGAGACGCAAGAGGGAAGAGATATGGGAACATATGTATATGTATAACTGATTCACTTTGTTGTAAAGCAGAAACTAACACACCATTGTAAAGCAATTATACTCCAATAAAGATGTCTAAAAAGAAAAAAGAGGGCTTCCCTGGTGGTGCAGTGGTTGAGAGTCCGCCTGAGGATGCAGGGGACACAGGTTCGTGCCCCGGTTCGGGAGGATTCCACATGCCGCGGAGCGGCTGGGCCCGTGAGCCATGGCCGCTTAGCCTGCGCGTCCGGAGTCTGTGCTCCGCAACGGGAGAGGCCACAACAGTGAGAGGCCCACATACCGCAAAAAAAGAAAAAAAAGAAACCTCTGTCCAATGTGCCTGCAAAGAAATCTAATGAGTTTACACTTTTTTAAATTATAAAAGTAGCACATGATTTTTTAAAATCTTTAACTTTTTTCTTTGGACATTCCTGTATCATTTCCCCATCCCACTACCCAGAAGTAACCAGTTAGGATTTTTAGTATGTATCCTTCCAGACTTACTTCCATGTATATATCGTTTATATACATACACTCACAACTCACATAGATTCACATGTTTTTTTCATTCTGATATATAATGGAAACCTATTCATGTCAGTACACAGTGATCTACCTCGTCCTTTATAATAGCTGCACAGTATTGCATATTATGGACAGACCATAATTTATTCAGTTGTATCCCAACAGACATACATTTAAATTGTTTATAATTTTTTTATATTACAATCAATGCTGCTCTGTATATTTGTACGAGCATTTCGATAGCATAGATTCCTAGAAGTGAAAATGCAGGGTCAAACTACACGCACATGAAAAAATTTGATTGGCACTATCAAAATGAACCCCAATATTCTGAAACCTTCATGACTGGAAGTGAGGATAAACTGCTAGTCTAAAGCTTCCAGCAGCTCTTCTGTTCCTGAAGAAGTAGAGGCAGAATTTACCTTTAAGGACAGATTGATCTTTTTGTTTGGGGGAAAAAACTCTGATAAGCCTTTTGGTTATGAAAAAGTAAAGCCAAGACTGCATTCTGGAATAGACAAAGAGGAACCTCAAATGTTCTCTGCATAATCACAGAAAAGGTCCTCCTGTGGGTGGAGCTGCTGATTCAAAGGGCTCGTCCTACCACCTATATGATACTTTATCTACCTCTAGAAATATCTACCTCTAGACTTGACCACTCTGCCTCCTCCTACTTAGTAATTTCATGCCAAACCTCCCTGGTACAGTAAATGACAGCCCCCTTCCTCCTGTGCACAACCAGTGTTTCCTCAGTGTTTTGCTGATGTTCTTCTAACTGCTTCCTCAATCCATCTTTCTTTCTAACTTCCATTGTCATTGCCTTTTCCTTTTCTCATGATTATTTTTATCTCTTGCCTGGATTTAGGTCACACTGTGTTATCTCTTCTCTGGACCACTGCTGTATTGCTCTAG